ATCCAGGTAAGGGGGGGAGTGAGAAATCTCGCTCTGGGTGTGGGATTGTATGCTGGGTAGTGGGATTGGCCCCCAATCCTGTGTTTGTTGTATGTTATATTGTTTGTATGTTCTAATTGCTTGGTTAATATGTGTGTATGAATAGAAATTCTGTTGAGATTATGATTGTGAAAGTTATGAATATGATATGATAATGTGAATGTGATGTTTCTAATGATATGATGTGATGATGAAATATGATGTGAAATGACCATGAGATATGATTGACCATGAGATAGATAATGTGATAATGTGACAATGAGATATGAAATGTGATAAAGAGAAATGACCATGGAAAGTGATAAAGTGATATGAGAATGCATAGAGTCTTGTTTGACATGCATCATTTGCATAAAGTGATAAGGGTACGATATGGAATACGCCGCCAGAGAAGGCCCCCTAGTGTAAAAGCTGTGGGGATCAGTCCTTGGGGATGGCTCGGTTTGGAAGTCCCAGTCTCGCCCATTGTGTGCATGGGATGTATCTTGCGCGGCTTAGCTATCCCGACGAGACTCTGGTAGTATGTCCTTCTAGTGAGAGTGCGCAGAGGTTGTGTCCCGGCATGTACTCCTAGACTACTCTTTGTGTATTGCTAGCGGTAATATACTACGTGATAAGTGACTGGCGCCACATGCATGATAAAATGTAGTCCGTGTCCATACATGTGTCTTTTGATATTATATGACAAATGGATATGCCTTGAATGAGTAAGATGTGATATTGTTAATCTATGTTATATATGTTTTGTTTGTGTTTGGCTATCTAGTATATATATTCCTACACTGTGAGCCGAGTGAGATGTTTTCTCACTCCCTTTTTCTTTGTGTTGTTTTTCTTTAACCGTTATACAGGTGATTATCAGCATGAGGCTGAGGATGTTGGTGGTGAAGCTTAGGCTTCTTTATGGGCTATGCTCTGATAGGACATGTGACATCGGGGTATAGATAAGATTAGATTAGGTTGTTAATGTCATTTTAAATTACTTTGAAAACTTTGAGATTTATTTCTTTGTAATTTCCGCTGATTATGTTTGTTAAAAATGTGATACTCTGTAAACATGTTTGATTATTAAAGTTATATTATTTGATTTATGATATGCGGGGTAGAGGGTGTCACAACTTTTATCTTTCAATTTATTTGTTTGTAAATAAATAAGTTATTACTATATAAATGTAACGTTTACTTATTATTGTCATTAGAGTAAACTGCATTCCTAATATTTTGTAAAATTTCATAATTCTCCCTACAATATAAGAAAAGTTAATGTAATACCTAAAGTGTGTCAATATCGTGTTTTTTAAGTAATTAAGAGGAATTAGCATTGTAACCCTTGGTTTTTCATAAATATATATAATATGTAAACTGTGTGAATATCATGTTTTTTAAGTAATTAAGAGGAGTTAGCGGTGAAGTCTCTGATAGTGAAGTTTAGTAAGTGGTCCATCCGTGCAGCATGTTTAGGAATTAGGATGACCGTAGATATAATATTAAAATATTGAACGGTTGAGATTAATGATGTAATGAGTAAAATTTAAGAATTGCAGAGTCGTCCTTGTATTGTTTATATTTGTCCATGTTTGGTATGTTTATGAAGGGTTATGTTGTTTTTCAGGGTTTTGCATGATCAGTTGATTTGCGATTCGGTTATTGTGCCGTATTTGTTGTAGGAGTTCCGATTAGCAGGTGCGGTAGGCGGCGGTGTGAGTTTGTGGAGAGCATCTTCGTAGTGGTCCTCCGGGGGCGTATCTTTTGTTGTTGGCGGAAGTCGGCAAGCGGTGCGAACATTTTTTAGGTTTAACAGGTGACGAATCGATTTGTTTATTTTTTAAAGGTAAATTGTCGCATACCAAAGGAAGTCGTTTTCCAGGTTTACGTGATTTGTTTAATTTGCATTTGATTTGATATGTATGTGCAATTTTGTTGATACATCTGTTGCTGGTGTGTACAGTTAATAGAGAGATTAACTGGTGCAGAAGTGTTTTCAGGTTCATACATTGATTTATTAGTAGTAAACGTGAAAGTAGAATGGAGTTTGAGAATTGGAGTATAGAGGTAAATGACATTTGTGTGATGTTTAGGGTTGCGTCCTTTAATATTGCGTTGTGTCATGTGTGTCATAACTGTGATGATGTATGTGGATATTGTTTTTAACTTTGTGATGGTCATAAAAGGTTTAATTGAGGATTAAAATTGTTTAGGTGCCAGTAGATAATTGTGAAAGCATAAGTGAAGGAGTAGAAAACATTGAAGGCATAAATGAAGGAGTATTTAATTTTCAAGGAATAAATGAAGGAGAAGATAATATAAATGAGGATGAGGTTGAGGATGAGGATGAGGATGAGGAAGATGAGAATTTGGTTATTGATTTACAGGAGAATTGTGAAGAAGAAGTGGAAAATGTTGTTAATGAAGGAAGATCTGAGGTTTTTGACAGTGAAAACGGGGTGATAGTTTCTACTTTGGATGATATTTTTAATTTAGATTTGCATTTAAGTCCCTATGAACTCAGGAATGTTCAATTTGTAAGTGTTGAGATGGCTTACTTATTTTATTACTGGTTTGCAAGAGTTAATGGATTTGCTGCAAGAAAGAGCAAGATTTTGAGAAATATTAAGGGGGAAAAATTACAACAAACATTTGTTTGTTTCAAGGAAGGATTTAGAGATAAGCGGCGTATGAACATACAGAATCGAAAGCGAAAGGAAACACCGGTGACAAGGTGCGGATGTGAAGCAAAACTAAGAGTGCATATTGATAGCACATGTGGACTATGGTACATTACATATTTTGTGGATGATCACAACCATAGTTTTTTGGAAGATAAGTATTGTAGAATGTTAGCTTCTCATAGAGATATGAGTGAGTTAGATATTATGCAGTTGAATAAAATGAGAAAAGTTGGCATAAGTAGTCCTCATATTTATGGGTCACTTGCAGATCAGCCTGGAGGTTATGAGAGACTTTCTTTTTGTAAAAAGGACATATACAATCAAATTGGAAGGCAAAGAAGGTTGCAAGGTTTGGATTCAAAATGTGCGTTGGAATTTTTGAATGGTTTAAAACGCAATGATCCTGTAATGTATGTTGGTCACACTGTTGATGAGGTATCAAAAAAATAAATTACAAAATATAAAATGTTGAGTTCTAAATTTCAAGTAGCAGTAGTTCCCGTAAAGCCGGGCATGATGAGAATCAAGCTTTCTGAACATTTAAAACTAAATAATT